AAAACATGAATGTTTTGATTCAAAGGATTCTAAATATTTCATTGCAAGAAGAATACAAAGTAAAATTATTAACAAACTGAACAAATATAAATGACCCTATCAAATTCTATTTTTCCAAAAATCCATAATTATGAAATAATAGATTAAGTAAGATGTCCTTTCCCCCAAATTTTGAAGCCCTGGGCAACCATACAGCCCTTTGAAGCTCAGTATCTCTATCTATCAAATGCCCTTTTACATCTCATCCAACCTACAAACTGACATAAAATTGTTAATCTTAAGTAATCCTTTAGAGCAGGGGTCAACAAACTATGGTCCACAAGTCAAATCTGACCCACCACCTGTTTTAGTGCATAAAATTTTACAGAAACACAGACACATTCATTTGCATTTATTTACATATTGCCTATGGCAGCTTTTTACAAGAGTAACTTAATAGAGATCACATAGCACACAAATACTACCTGGCCCTCTAAAGAAAAAGTTTGCTGATCCCTGCTTTAGAAAATGAGGTAGATATTTCACCTCAATGTATTTTCCAGATATATAAAGCTCCCCTTTTAAGTAGATAAACTTTACTTTAAACATAAAGTAAATGCATTATGTATTTTCCAAATAACTAACAATACAGTCTCCTAACTTCATAGTTCTGCCTCTCAGAATTGGCAAGTGATAGAGTGGATTGGCAGATGTGAGTTTGAGCCCTGGCTCTAATTCTTTGCAATCACGGGCCAAACTCCAAATGAGGATTATACCACCTGCCCTGCTTACAATTTTGAAGACTGAGAGAGATATAATACATGAAAGTATTTGTAAATTACAAAACATCATACAAATGCACCCATCACTTTTTAAAAGATCACTGCTTTAATAATTCAAATAATCAAATAACGTATTATATTCTACATAAGACACAATGAAAGTCCTAAAACTACTTAATCTAGAGTAGATACCATGGACTTAATATAAACAAAAACCACGTTAGTATCTATACATCATATTAGACAATGATCCTAATGTTTCCTGTCTTGTTAAGTCAAGGGGCTTATTTTTCATACTATTTTGCTTGCCTTTAGTCAGATGGAAATTTGTCAAAGGGATTTTTGAAAGATTTAAAGGATAAGGCATAGCTAACTGGATGGAAGAGTAATGTCTAAGGACAGTAAATGTATGAGAAAAGTGGGTATGGGACAAAGGAATAGAGGAGTATATCAGAAAAGTATAGGAGAAGCTCTTTTTTAAAGAGACAAAAACTCAATGATAATTTAACTCATTTTTAAAGACCAGAAGTCTTTCAAATCAAAATAATATCTCAGAGCCTAAGAATATTCCATCAGAGTATGCCTATTAGGGCTTTGCACTAACATCTAATTACTCTATTGACACAAAATTAGATCCACGCTTATAAAAACTTACCAAAAGAGACATTGAATTGCTTTAGTTCACAGAAAGTGAGAAAAATCCATCTACTCCAAAGAAGATTTCTGCTTTATCTTCAAGATACAGAAATATCCTAGTATAAAAACAGAAGCAAAATAACTTATATTTACATACAAATTCCTTAAAGATCTAGTTGCCATAAACCCACCACTATTTGGGCAGCTATTCTTTGACACAAGGACTACAGACATTTCTGAAAGGTGTCCTTAAAGAGCATTTCTGTTTACTGAACACTATTTGGGATCTGACATCACAACAGAAAGGCAGAGTGAAGTTGAAAGGAGGTTCTGAATATTTCCAAATCCTCAATAAACCTGCATCCCTTCTTCCTTATCTTTTCTATACTACTTTTTTAGAGAACCCTAAGCAAATGTAAAAACAATACAGAAAGGCAATGTTGGACCCACTTTTAATACAAATGATGCCCAAGAATTTCCAATGGTTCTACTTAGAAGTAAACTTTGAATCTTCCAAAGCTTCCTTATCCGATTAATTACCTATTAAATCATCTAGGGTAACTGACCGGCAAATTTGGTAAAGAGTCAAGATTAGCAACAGAGTAGGAATTAATTACATTTTCTTCTTGCCATGTTTAAAAAAAGATTTTTTTTCAGTTTTCATGTGAAAATAATATTTTCTGTAGATTGAATATTTTTTATGATTCTCAGTTCTCATTTCCATTCTTCTTGGAATTTACTGACAGATAGGAAAGATATGCAGATTATTACACAAATAATTCCTGTCCACTTTCACTGATGGAGTATTAATCTCAATAGTTTATGAAGGCAGAGGTTTAAAATAGTAATTTATTCAGATTCAAGGAGCTACAAAAGCACCACCAAAAGTTTCCAAATCTTTCCTAATAGAAAGGGTGGCAATGTTAGAAACTTGCTAGTGCTGGATATTCCCTTACACCTACCCAGTATCTCTTTCACCTAAATTGTGGTTCATTATTTCATTTTAATGAAGTCCCCAAGTTTGATCAAGGCATCTGCAAACATCTGAACAAAATGAGAAAGAAAAAGCTTTTGTAAACCATAGATATACAGCAGCATCCAATTTTATTGCTAAGAAAAGATGTCAGTTTATTCAGGATATTCACTACAAACCAAAGGAAGAGAATGGGAAGAAGAAAAAAACCCGAAATGGTTTATTTTTGTCACCTGCCATTCATTACCATCAATTTAAGGCACTGGTGTTTGCTGTGTTACAAAAGAGGTAATGCAAAACCTGCCCTGCTCACTTTCCAGGGTGATTCGGATCAATGAAATACTTTATCTGAAAGTGCTCAGAACTACCAAATACTGTATCAATAAGAGCTTGAGAAGATGCTCTGAAAGGTACCAAATGGTAGGACTCATTTGGAAAGTAAGTTGGCAATGTTTTGATAACTATAAAAATGTTCATCCCTTTTGACCCTGTAAAATTCTCACTTCTAGTAATCTATTCTAAGGAAATATCCAAGTAAATGAAGAAACTACAGGCATGTAGAAAGTAATTACCCTGTTACCTGAAACGGTCAAGTATTCATCCCACAAGTGTTTAATGAATGGCTGTTATGGGTCAGGCACTGTGCTGGGCACTGGGGACACTCACTAGTGATCGAGGCAGACAAGGCCCTGACCACTTGGAGCATACATTCCTACAAGCAGAAAGATCAGGGATGTCATGATTAACTGAATTTCCTGGTTCTCAGGAATTTGTTTCTTGCTCTTTCTGTGTAATATCAGTTAAGTTCTTTCTTAAACAACAACAAAAAACCTTTAAACTCCATTACATTATCTATTTTTCAGAAAAACTCATAAGAAACGGACACAACCTGTGAGAACTGTCAGTACTAAAGGGGTTGCCCACGTGCGTGGCTTAACCCCAGAGGATTTTGCTTTAGATGTGACAGACTATTAAGAGATAATTTTATGAGACATTTTGAGGTCAAGGCAGCAGCTCCCTGCTAAG